TTACCAATCATGTAAATTGGAATATCCCATATATTGAGATGAATGTGAAGAAGACCCAGAAGATGCACCCCTTGAAATCCAGAATTAAGTAAATGAGATTTACATTTAAGGCTTATTAGCTCTGCCCATTTCCAATTCTGTTACTCTCCCCCCCCCATCCTCCACCCCCAGACAATAAATATCACAATTAGATGTACATATATAACTTACCAGAAATGCTTGACATTAACTATAAATCAAAGATGTTTTTAAGTAAATGTACTTCAAAAGTCAAGTTAAACTCTGTATTTATAGAGAATGAACCATATACAATGATTAGGGCGACGCCCACTTTTGATCACATGTGTAATTCTATGGTCTTTGACACTTACCAACCATGTAAATTCTAATATCTTATATATTGAGATGAATATAATACGACCCAGAAGCTTTACCCTATGAAATCTAGAACCAAGTAAATGAGATTTACATTTAAGGCTTATTAGCTCTGCCCATTTCCAATTCTGTTACTCTCCCCCCCCATCCTCCAACCCCAGACAATAAATATCACAATTAGATGTACATATATAACTTACCAGAAATGCTTGACATTAACTATAAATCAAAGATGTTTTTAAGTAAATGTACTTCAAAAGTCAAGTTAAACTCTTTATTTATAGAGAATGAACCATATACAATGATTAGGGCGACGCCCACTTTTGATCACATGTGTAATTCTATGGTCTTTGACACTTACCAACCATGTAAATTCTAATATCTTATATATTGAGATGAATATAATACGACCCAGAAGCTTTACCCTATGAAATCTAGAACCAAGTAAATGAGATTTACATTTAAGGCTTATTAGCTCTGCCCATTTCCAATTCTGTTACTCTCCCCCCCCCATCCTCCAACCCCAGACAATAAATATCACAATTAGATGTACATATATAACTTACCAGAAATGCTTGACATTAACTATAAATCAAAGATGTTTTTAAGTAAATGTACTTCAAAAGTCAAGTTAAACTCTTTATTTATAGAGAATGAACCATATACAATGATTAGGGCGACGCCCACTTTTGATCACATGTGTAATTCTATGGTCTTTGACACTTACCAACCATGTAAATTCTAATATCTTATATATTGAGATGAATATAATACGACCCAGAAGCTTTACCCTATGAAATCTAGAACCATGTAGATGAGATTTACACTTAAGGCTGATAAGCTCTGCCCCCTCCCAATTCTGTTACTACCCCCCTCCCCCATGTATCCCCATGCAATAACTATAACACTTAGATGTAAAAATGCTTGATATTAAGTATAACCAAATAAATTCAATATAAATGTATCTCAAAAGTCAAGTAAAACTCTGTATCTATAGAGAATGGCAATCAACTACTATTATGAGGGCGACGCCCACTTTTGACCACTTATGTAATTGTATGGTCTTTGACACTTACCAGTCATATAAATTGCAATATTCTTTCTCTTTAAACAAATGTTTGGACAGCCCTGGTAATTTTTAGAATGCTAAAATGTTCTGATATCTGTTGATTTGAAAAATAATCTACATTCTATATTATGTACAGGTACCGGTTTTACCAAAATTAAGGATTTTCTCAGCAAATATTGTGGTTTCCATGGTAACCACGAGTGACAGACCATTGAAACTTTGCATACTACCTTAAAATGATCTCATCAACTCTCAATAAAATCAATATGATGATTGAAGACTAACTGAATGAATTATTCAATGATGATAATGTACCCCCTGTAATTTTCCTTTTGAGGGTCAAAAACCCAATTTTGACAACTTTCGCCCCGGATACGGCGCGTCAGACTAAAATTTTCTGAAGTATCACATAAAAATACATAAGAAACAAGTAATTTCAATTTGTTCAGAAGCGGGTACATTTTTCGGTGCTACCTCACTACCTATATAGTTTGAGTCACAGAAGCCTCCGTTCACAAATTCTATGAATTGGTATTCCCCGAATGATAATCATAGCTAGAAGTTCTGATAGTTCAATTTAGCAGTCCCCTGAGTAAGCAGGTTACACAAAGATGACTGAGTGAGTGTGGGGAAATTATGTTCCAATCAAACGGATACCGGATTTTCTTGCATATAAGCCCTGGGCGTATAACTGAAAGAAGGGGTAATTTTGTCTGTTATTTTCCATGGGCGTATAAGTGTACTACTTTCGATTTTTGGCCCAGTGGGCGTAAAGGTGAGAAGAGCTGATGAATACAATGGACTACCGTACCTACTGTTGTAGTCCTACCGCATGTTTTGTAAGAATTATAAAGGAAATGTCACATACAACCTTGGACTTAATGTTGAAACAAAGTAACAACAGAACGATCCACCACTGCCACTTACGGCACAGCGTTGAACTTAATGTTGAAACAAAGTAACGACAGAACGATCTGCCAGTGACAAAATACTCTTGAATTTATTGAAAAAATCAATAAATAGTCATTTTTATAGGCCAATGGGCGTATAAGCTTACTACATTCGATTTTTGGCCCATGGGCCTAAATTTAGGGGGGCGTATATGCGAGAAAATCCGGTAATTGAAATATCTACTTCCTTTCTTGATTTGCCACCAAGCCTGACCTTGAGACGTAAAACCTTGAGCTCATTCTACAAGACTCGTCTTACTAACCTTGTATTCGTGAATGCTCATAATATAGTTAGTTAATCCGGTGTAAAAGGGTAGGAGGTCCTATCAAATTATGGTCCTACTTTCCATGGATTCATATGGTGACCTAAATACAACTCTTTCCCTTATGCTGAATAAAGGGAGGGGGGGGGGCTGAATGTACTCCGTTAATTTCCTAATTTGGCAACATGTACTTAACACAGTAATATAATGGTATACAGTTTATTATGTATAAATGAATTATAATGAATGTTTGATAATAATGAACTATAATGAACGATTATAATACTGTAGTGGATATGAACGAATCCCAACTAGATATTACCACATTGTATATTACAACATTGTCCTGTATATTACCACATTGTATATTACCACATTGTCCTGTATATTACCACATTGTACACTGCAAGTAACAACATTAACATTACGGTACAGGGTGTCCCATAATATATGTGAATAGTTGTGGAAATCAACCATATTGTAGATATCATGTCTTCACCAGCATAAGTCCCATAATTTGTACATTAAGTTGTGTCTTTACATGAAACATAGGAGTCTTGACATGAAACATTCACATCTTGACATGAAACATCCAAGTCTTGACATGAAATATTCAAGTCTTCACATGAATCAATCCAATTCAGTTCATCATTTACAATCATTGGTACCTTCAAAATGTGTCATCATAAACCTAGACAATATGCACTAGTTTCCTCCGTTCACTAAACGGGATCAGGATTTAAAGGAAAGGCTTACTAAGGAAAAAATTGATTTCATATCTAAACTTAGTGTTTAAACACTAAATAAACAGGGTTTTCGATGAGTTTTCAGGGTTACCAAACTTTTTGTGGGGGATGTTCTGTTAGTTAATATACAATGATTTCTAATGAGTTTTCAGGTATACTAAGCTTTTTAGGGGGTGTACTATTGAGTTAATATACAATGTAATAATCTAGTAATCTTGTAGGGATTGTCTCTTTGGATCTCAATTACATTCTAAACTTTCTAATTGAAACTCATGCAATGATTCAAGCAGTCAAAGTAGGTCTGTCAATCCCAATACTAAGCAGCGTGGAATTCTGGGATATATCAACCTACTTTGTAGCACAACTTCATACAATGTAATCCGAACATTTAATTTTCACAGAACTGTACATAAAAAGCTTAATATGTAGGATTTTTTCCAAAAAGTGCCAAAAATTAAAGCTTTATAAGATTACAATACAACAAGTATATATCATAATTATGATAATATAAAAGTATAAAAAACATAAATTTGAGGTGAATAGAAAGCATACATATTCGTGTCTTTACATGAAACATATGAGTCTTCACATGAAACATTCATATCTTGACATGAAACATCCAAGTCTTGACATGACATATACAAGTCTTCACATGAAACATCCAAGTCTTGACATGAGCAATCAAGCCTTGACAAGAAATATTCAAGTTTTGAAATGAAACACACAAGCCTTGACATGAAATATTCAAGTCTTGACATGAAACATCTAAGTCTTGACATGAAACATCTAAGTCTTGAGACAAAACATCCAAGTCTTGACATGAAACACAAAAGCCTTGACATGAAACATACAGGTGTCAAATTATGCATCAATTCAAATTATGTTTCTACATGTATTATTAAAAATATCAATATTTGTTTAGTAAGTCATTACACTGCATAACTTTTGCGTCATGAATTTTTTGTCCATTCAAGTTACTGTGTTACATATATAGCAGCACGTGTTGTCGTTATTTTGAAGGTGTCGAATGGTGCATGCGTGTGTCAACAAGACAAGCTGCATTCACAAGGACAATTAGCTCCCAGAGTGCAACATCGATATTCTGTCCCATATATGTGCATGTCATAACACAAAATTTGAATTCAAACAGCCGCCATTTTGTTCACTTCAGCATTTGAATCATGAATTTCGATCTTATTTCTAAACGAAAAATTCCCAAACTCACAAGAAATGATCGAGATATTGGTTCGAAATTTTTGGACTGTTTATTTTGAATTTATAGTTGGTTATTATTTCAGAAAATAACGACATTTCCACGTTTTCATTGTTGGAAAATATCAAATTTTGTTCCTGGGAGCCAATCCTTCTTGTTGCATTCATATACATGTATGCACATGTACGAATTCAACATTTTTGACATCTTAATGTTGCGTTGATAATCATAAGTTAAATCATAAAATATACATAGATTAACTAAGAGTATAATAAATAAGCTACTTTTACATTAATGCATACATTTTACTTGGAGGGGCATAGCCAGGATCTAAAAATAGGCGAGACAAAATCAAATAGGTGAGGCCAAATCATGTAGATGAGGCCAAGTAATATTGATGAGGCCAAATTATGTTGGTGAGGCCAAACTAGAGTAAAAGACTTCATTTGCACAATTCCAGTTGCAAAAATATCTACCTGAATACATATATTTCTATAGAACTTTGGTGAGTGATTGCGTCGTCTGCCTCGTACCTGGCTACCCCCATGACTTCATACATGGAGTAAAGTTCATATATATATGCTATACTCGCATATAGTGTAAAATAAACTAACTGTCAATGTCTTGAATTCAAGCACATGAAAATTCCTGTGACATGAAAATTTACATGGAATCTTCATGGAAATTGGGAGGAAATTAGACTTGGCAATTATGTCGTTTGATAACAGCAGACCTATTTTCCGAATCAAGTGACCTAGTTTCCAATGGAATACCACATTCCATGGATGGACAGGCAGAAGGACATACACAAAATATAGCAAGTCAAATATAAAAAATGTCTTGTCACAGAAGCCTTCTAAGGCAAAAACCTGACTGGTATTGAACTATATTTGTATTAACTACATAATCAAGTATTTGAAATATTTGTTTAATATACAGTTTACATATTATTAATATATTAATACTCCTTATGATTTAAAATAGTCAATATTATTTAAATATATTAATATATTGCAATTTGCAAATTACTAGTATTTTAATAAATGAGATACAAATTTCATAAATATAATGGTGATCCCTTGTCATTCATTACATGTACTGTGGTATTATTTGTACGAGGGTTGTCCAAAAATCTTGATATTTCAAAACTTTTTGAATGACCCTCGTATGTAGTTCAGGTCATAAGGCAGCTTTTATCGGAAGATTCCCTCTTACTGTTCTGAGTATATTTTCTAATGCAGGTATCCTATCCTATATTTTATTTGTTTAACTCTAAGACAGATGTGCACATCCTATATTCTTACTGATTCAATACGAAAAATTCAGTTGATTCATCTTAAGATTAGAAAATTCAACTATAATACACAGTAGTATGTACCACAATATAATCAGTAAAATATGTCCGATGGAACTTCTTTCTGTAAGCCATGGAGGTTTCATGATAAAAATCCAGATTTGTACAGATTAGCAAATTCATATCACATTGTCCTATTTCCTGCAAACTTTTCTGTGACCATTCATGACATTCTGCGTATATTTTGACTTCTTTCTGCATTTGCCAAATTCATTGTGATGTTAACGATAAAAATCAAGAGTATGTATCACAATGTCCAATATTCTGTGACCTTTTTGACCTTTTGCTATATTTTGTGTATTTACTTCTTCCTGCCTTTGCCCATAGTTGCCGCCTGCTGGGCTTGTAGTTGGGCCTGTTGTTGCGCTTGTAGCGTGACAGCTTTTTTCTTTCCAAATAGATTCATTTGCTCCTCCAGGTGGCGCTTCTGGTCCTCAAGTTTTTTCTTTTCTTCCGCGTGCTGCTTTTTGAGGTTATCGAATTTAGAGTGAAGCTGAAAATATGATCCCGAATTTGAGATATAGAGTACTGCACAATGCATTCATGAGAAGGATGTTTTTCATTGTTAAGATTTAAACTACTATACAGACTCGTAAATAATTTGTTATGCTATATTTAAAACACCACATCAAGTAGATATTCTAGCAAAACAAATAAAACCTTAATGTTTTGTAAATGGAATAAAAACTCAAATAAAAATCATTTGCAAAAAATGAAATTAACAGTCAAATAAAGAAAAAAAAATATTTTACTTCTTTTTCAGCTTCCTTCAAATCTTGTTCTTTTTCTTTGACTCGTACAACGAACATTTGCGTCATTTCATCTTCCTTCTTCTGCAACTCAGCAATATGCTGGGTGTGTTTCTGAGTGTATGACTCTGTCAAACTACAAATAAACAAGATGCACAGTGATAAATATTACACTTTCAAGAGTAAAATGAATGCCATGTAATTTATCTAGCAAATTGCTCAAAACCTAACCAGATAAGTTATTTTTGTGAGATAATGATGCCGAGATTTTTGTGGTGCTAGTCGTCCACCTGCATCCCCATCCAGCACAGGACAATGACAATGTAGCAATTCTTCAAAGTGTGATAAAAATATTGATAAAACTGGCCACCTTAAAATGTACCTTTCATGGAAAATCTAATAAATTTTTGTTAACCCAATTGTCTCATTGTCTGAAAACTTCAAAGCTTTTCAATTTTAAAAGATCATTTGAATAAAAGTTTTAATAGCTAATAGACAGATAGTTATGTTTTCATTGAATATTGATATTCATATGCATTATAATACCTCATCGAGTCATTATCTGAAAAGCCCATTTCCTGGAGTTTGCATCTTCGGTAGAGTTCATAATGTCTGTTATGAGTCTGCTCGCGAAGATCCTCCATGTTGGTACGTACTAACATCTCTCGCAGCTTCACAAAGTCACAATGGTTTTCGTTTTCAACTAAAACATAGAAAGGAAGTGGAGACTGAATATTATGCAAGCATATTGACATATACAATGTATATGTTTCTTTTATGATTAGAATTTACAGATAAATTTTGGTAGGAAGGTGATAATTGTTGGCTTTGTCACAGAGGAACTGCCTGGTTTTGACCATTTTTTTTAAAAGAATGAATACCGTGTGTATCTACTGTAACACCATTGGTTGAATAAAACTTGGCTAGGAGGGAGAACTACACCCTGGAGGACTTGTATTTATTTGGCATATATTACAGAAATGTATACAGATCTAATTCAAATCAGGCCTACAGTGACCCCTTGATTAAATAATAAAAATGTCGCCTTTGGATGGGGGGAATTTGACTTATCCTGTACTGTGATACATTGGCCAAATAGTTTTGGCCTGAGGGTGGGTGTAGAGGGGGAGAAAGGTGACCCACCTTGTACTGTCCCCCAGGGGTACTGTCTGGCTTTGACCATCTTGTTTCCAACCTTCACCTCTTCTGTGCTTCCAACAACAGCAAACGGCAAGTGACTCTGTAACCATAGCAACATGCATATAATTTTAAAGGCCCCATGTAAAGTTTAAACCACTTTGGCTTATATTGTAGTCTTACCCAATGTTATCAAAGTGTGATATGTGAAACTTTTTTTTTTATTTCAAAAAGTGGTTTATGATAGACTTTTTGTTCCAAAATTTGTGAATTTATTTAAAACCAACTTTTAGAGGTCACTCATATCTTCTAATTAGCCACAATTCATACCAATGCATAGCATTCATCCTCCCATATGTTTTGCCGAAAAAATTAAGAAAATCGGTTGATAAACAAGCGAGAAATGAACTTATCAGTGCATGAAAATGGTTCTGAGAAAAATGCATTTCAAAATTTTAGTTCTCATAGAAACCAATGGTACAATGATATCTAAAACATAATTTATTCTTCCTTTTGACCTGGGTAGACAATCAACATTGTTTTTATGAAAGTTTAGCATATTTAGAAAAGATTGACATCGAAAAAAAAATTCAATTTTTTTCAAAAAGTTTTTGTTACCTTAGTGACATCACTAATGGTTCAAAATATTTTTGATAAGCTAAAACGTTGAAGTATGACATTTTATTATTGAAATAGTGTGTCTTTTGTTCATTCTTTGCATTGGTGTTAAAAAGATAATCTTTTTTGAAATGCATTAAGAAATATTTGATGATTAAGAAATTTCAATTTCAACTTTTTTTGAAAAATGGCGGGAAATTTGAATATCTGAGAAACGAAATGCTCACAACTTTTTTTTCAAAAAAAAATTTTTGTTCAAAAATCTCTAAAATCACTTTTTAAGTCCTGACAAATAGTAAATGAATGATAAGAAAATATTTTCAAACTTTAGACGGGGACTTTAAGGATAATAAAAGAGGAAATCATAATTATTATTAGATAAGAACTAACAGATGAATATCATTGGTTACATGTCCATAGCTCAACAATCAAGATTAAAAGTTGATCAGGCAGGTGTATGTCTTAGCCTTGTTTTTAGAGTTTGTGAGTGATATTTTTCTCTTCTTTTTACTACATAAACATTATTCAACAAATATTAAGAATTTTAGAGCAAAAGGTGCAAATCTTTTCGATCAACCCTCGTATCCATAAAGTTTACTTACATTCATGGTTGAGTTCAAGTCAGCTACGGTTTCATCTTCTGTAGGGAACTGGTATATCTGGACTCCATTGCTTACAAGTTCACTCATTATCTAGAAAACATGTGCACATATGGTTAAATCCAATATGGGTAAACCAATTATGGGTAAGTCAAATATGGGTAAACCAAATATGGGTAAGTCAAACATGGGTAAACCAAATATGGGTAAATCAAATACATGTATGGGTAAACCAAATATGGGTAAATCAAATATGGGTGAACCAAATATGGGAACAAATATGGGTAAACCATCTAAATAGAAAAGGGCCATTTCAAAGGGCTATGTCTTAAAATACCACAATATATTTTATATCACAATGGTCTGCATTTTGCATTATCTATACTTGTTGATATAAAGCTAATCTTTCCTAAAAATACCAAGACTTAAAAAATTGTTTTTCAAGGAAGCAGGATCACATGTGCAAATTATGAGGGTTGCATTAAAATGCAAGTAATTTCTCAAAGGTGGTTAACTTACTGACTATGTGAGTGATATTCAAGCTCTAATAATAACAAAAATATGGTTTGTAACAGTTATAAGCCTATCCTAATCTTTGGAAGGCCTACCTTCATTTTGAATTTGTGCAGTTCTACTTTGGTGATCGTATCTGCTTTTGCAATTACGGGAATAATGTTCACTTTGCTGTCCAAGGCCTTCATGGTTACTAGGTCCAGAGATTTCAACCTGGAACCACAAAAAGAAATAAGATATTAGGAGAAGGAAAAAACCTTCATGGTTACTAGGTCTAGAGATTTCAACCTGGAACCACAAAAAGAAATAAGATATTATGAGAAGGAAAAAGAACCAAAAGCGATTTTGCTCAATACTCACACAGTTAGCTGTTATTCTATTTAGATTATACGAGCAAAAATGGTGATACACACATGAAACTAGGGAATCAATGTGTCTATGATGTACAGGATATTCTAAAAGAGAAATAAATAAAAGATGCCAAGAAAGACATTAACCCATTCAACAAATTAACAAGATTAGTCAGGACACCAAGCCACCCAACCGACGAATTGCCCACCTGCCCGACAAACTGATCACAATATAGCACCAGCAATAGTGCGATAAAATAGATACACAGACAGAACCAATTGTAACGATCAAACAACAGCACATTTAGACCAATGATTTTCATTCAAACAAATATCCATTAGTGAAAATTCCAACGAAGAAGCTAATGGCAATTTTGTAACTTTTTTTAAAGATATATGTAGTCAGAGGTCGAGGATCTATACATACACATGAAGCAACAATGAAAATCAAACTGATTCAAGACTGAAGGTTGGCAGAATGGCCTTATTCCTAAATTCAATACAAAATTCAATCAGAACCATGAACTCTAGTTTCTGTATTGTTGCATTAATGTTTCAAGTCTAAGTAAACGTAAAGCATGTTCAAATAAATAATCTAATAAAAATAAATAAACAATCCAAAGACCATGAGAATGGATTTCCTCAACTCAATGGTAAAAGTTAATTTCCCTGAAAGTTTTTTAAAACTGTCCTTAAACTTTAATTGTCGATTTTTGAAATGTGTAAAAATAGTTGTTGCACAGTAGGTGATATAATATGTGACATTGAATACACATTTGTGTGTTTTTTCAGGATAACTTTTGTATTTTTATTTTTGGGAAAATCGTTCCCATTGTTCCCACAAATAATCTGGTTACTTATGTCAATGTGCCCTTGAGGAAAATGACAAGTTGTCATATTTCAATATCAAAAATAGAGTGGAATGGAGAGAAAATAGGGAGGAGTTAAGTTTACAGGGATGTCGAATTTAGTGTTTTAGTGGATCTAAATCAGAAAATAATGTAGTTCATAAAAGTTCATTGAGAAAAAACATGGAATGGACATGACCAAAGAAATCTAGGTAGGGTTAAATCATGATTTTCGATCTCAGCATTACCATGTATATATGCCAAAATAAATACTGACCAAGGACAATAATAAGCTGATTTCAGTACATGAGGAAATAATTTTTAGTTGATCATTAAAGCGAGTTGTGTATGAAACAACAAGAGGTTCAGAAACTACAAAATAAACAGCTACGATAATGCAGAACATTAACTTCCATTAAACAAAGTTACATTACCAATACTTTAAAGAGGACTTCGCAATAGCATGTCCGAATAACTTTACGAAAATTATTTGAATATCAACTGTGAGATTGCTATTTGAGTAAATTATAACATAGACCAAAACGAGTCCCTATAAAACTTAGAAAATGGGCTCCATGATGTAAAAATACAAAAATACAAATATCTACACAACATAGTTACAAGTATTAAATGATTTAGGACAAACCAATAATCAAACTATGAATGATAAATGGATATAACACTGCCAAAATGGCTTCGATGACCTTGTGGAATGTCGCAAAAGCTGGGACTAATTTGGGCTGCTATATTCTTGGTTGTTTCAGGTATAGTTATTCTACTTTACAAATGTGTATCATATGAAGTTTTACAATGCAAAAGACAATTTAGACAAGGCGTTAACATGCAAAATATCACTACAGTGCTGATATATAATAATATAGGGTGCGTTTTCAAACTAAACAGAGTGTTCCTACTAAAATGAATTTGCCTACATACCCCTGAAACTCTTATCTGATAGATAGAATGCACAAATAAAACAAAAGTTTTGCTATTATAGGTAAAAAGTTCTCTTGAAATTTCGAAGTGATTTTACCTGTTAATTCTGTCCATGGTCCGCCATTTTTGCGGAAGTTACACTGAAACGCAAAGTCCATGAAACGAAACGAAATCACTAGAAAAAAACATGGCACACATTGTGCGCATGTGCAGCAAAGTTTAGACCAATTAGATTATTTGATTATTTTGCGCACGTGAATTATTTGCTTCTGAGCACTTACAAGCTTACCACAATAAACAAACCTGGCAGAGACTACCCTTAGCCTACTTCATTTTGGCGAAATTTCAGCTCAAACTCGTGACAAATGCATTATGCATACGCTGGTGTGAAGCCTTGGAGACACTCATTTTGGTAAATATGATTTATGGGGTATACTTTTCTGCAGTTTGTGGGAGTTTGGGACATTAAATGTTAAAATTCAAGAAAATATGTCAATTAAACGACTGATCAATTAATATATACCAGCACTGTATCTGCCATTTGATACAGACACCAAATGCCGAACACCAACGGCTACCATAAAAAAAGTTGAAGACTATAACAATATGTCCCATTTTTGGTGGTGACATAAAAATGGTAGCTTCTACATGTATGAACCCACAAAATCTAACAACTTGTGGGGATCATTTGTTTAACTATATTTTGATCTTTTGTAAATATTTTATCAAATGAAATGAAAAATAATTTATTATGTATTTATAGGTCCTTGAGAAGATTGACAAAACTGCTTTGCACTTTGGTGATAGGATTTTTGATCTATACACAAGTTAAACTGAATACATATCGAGGTGAGTCTTATATAGGCATTTATACATTTCACAATATCTTAGTTTCATAGCCGTACCCCCTATAAGGTTGCCAGAACATTTTTTAATCAAAATTTTTAGACTAGATTTTAGTTTTTTATTGTCTAGGTGAATCCTTGAGAATTTTGTCAGACACTACTCTGAGGAACAAAGATATTATAAGAAATACAGATGAGAAAAGGAATACAGATGTGACAAGAAATACAGATGTGACAAGAGATATAAATATGACAAGAGATACAGAAGTGAGAAGAAAAATAGGTGTGACAAGAACTTTAAATGAGATAACAAATACAAATGTGACAATCAATACAGATGTGACAAGAAATACAGATATGACAAGAAATACAATTCTTTTCAGCAAGGTGAGAAAAAAGTGACAAAAATTTGTGTTAAATTGGAGCTTGTAACAAAAGTGTTTCTGCTTCAAAATTCAGTTAAAATACAAGGAAGGGGGCAAGCTCTGAATGAGTCACAAATATAAACATGATTGTCATATGTAATGCAGTCATCATGAGTAGAGATGAAATGAAAAAATATGAATGTGTGAATGAGTTTTTAAGGATGTTCTATGGTTCATTGTACCATGATACTCATTTGATTTTTCCAGACTGGGGTATGGGTTTCAAATGATTTTGGGCAAAGAGGACCTAACTGGCCACAAGCTTATGTGATCAGGCGACAGCGTGATATGAGAGGTAGGAATATTACAATAGTCTAATTAAATACTTATATCATTAAGTGTATCTTTGTTAGTTTTGAAAGTGGCAGCAATGGATAGAAAGAGCAAAATGTTGGAAGCAAGTTTTTCAAAAAGAATGTCAATGCGTTCAATCCTAATTTCACAAAAGGAGATAACTGATCAAAAATGGAAGTTCCTGGAAATTAATGACAGTCACAAAAGGGACATACACTTTGACATACTTTTATTGTCAGATATTGCTTTTTTACATTTTCCAGGATATTTAACAATAGGAATACCATCGATCAAGCGACCAATCAAAAAGCCGTATCTTCTTAACACCTTGCGATATATCATGGAAAACACATGGGAAGATGAACGGCCTCAAATCGTAATAATTATATTCCTGGCAGATGAAGACAAAGACTACAACAATAAAGTGGCAAAAATGATTATTAAAAAATATGCAGTATATATCGAAGATGGCTTTATACAAATCCTGCAAGCTGACAGTGCCATCTATCCACAGTTAACTAAACTAAAGCAGAATTTCAACGATGATGCAATACGTGTAGCGTGGAGAACAAAACAAGTTATCGATTTTTCGTTCATGTTTATGTACAGCAAAAACATATCGGAGTATTATATACAAATTGAAGATGATGTCAGAACGGCTACAAATTATTTTACTGGAATAAAGAATTATATCGATAGGTTTAAGACGGAGAATCCACCGTGGGCTGCCCTACAATTTTCCAAACTCGGATTTATCGGAAAACTTTTCAGATCTTCCGATCTTGAAATTCTCTCAAAGTACCTGCTTTTGTTTCAATCTGAACAGCCTGTTGATTGGTTATTTAGATATTTTAGCATGTCTAAATCGCAGTCGAAGGAACTGATTCGATATCCTGGATTATTCCAGCATATGGGGGTGCGCTCTTCACTTGAGCAGAACAAATACCAGGGGACTAGAACTATATATGATACAAGTTTCGATGATGGTACAAAAGCACTCAATGGTGATAACCCACCTGCGAGAATCATAAACTCGTTAGAAACATCTGACCGATGGGTCCCAGAGATGGCATATTGGAAAAAGGACGGGTATCACTTGACACAGAATGCAAAAACAGGAGACACTATCACCATTATTTTTGACAAACCAGAACAATTAAAGAAAGTTCATATCATAACAGGAACTGTCATTCACAAGACAGGCATCCTTAAAAATGGACGCGTCGAAATAGCTGAAAAATTACTCTCAGCACATGGGAATGCAATTGAATGTTCACAGTTCATTCCAATTTGTGAATTTACTGATGGACAATGTATCTCAAGCACAATGGACATTTTTCCAATTAATCAAACAACAAAATGTCTTAGAATAATCGTCACTGTAGGACAAGCTGGAATGTTAGCAATTAAAGAGATTGCAGTATATCTTAGGCAGAATATTGAAAATTAAACCATTTCAATATTCTGAGTCTTTTAAAAGAGTGCTTCATCTATTTTCTTTCACTTAAAGATAATCCTCTGATTCAGTCTAACACCCAATCAGAATAGATATTAATAGGGTTTTTCATTTTTGGAAAGTTTTTTCTGATCAATCTGCTATTTTTATCATATGATCTATAATTGATAGGGACCCCACAAAAAAGATTTAAGCCAAATCAGGCATCATTTGCCTCACGACCCGTAGATAAAATAGCAGCTTGATCAGAAAAATATCCAAAAATGACACACCCTAAGGAATTCAATCATGTGAATTATAAACTATGTTTGAGGTTGTGAATTTGTACGATCCGCAATCAGATCTGGATAATTTCTACATTGAGGGACACCTATAATACCATTGGCGAATGGGTCCCTCTGTTATGATATTTTCATAAGAGAATAAATGGCAATAAAATTAGACGATAATAATATCTACTTACGAATGTCCTGTGGGTGCGATGAAATACAGGCAAGTGTGAATTCGAGTATCATGGTAGATGTGAATGTTGCGCTTTATCTTCAATTCCTCCTGTAGGTAGTTCTCAAACTGTTTGTCGATGAACTCAACAATAGACTTATAGCTGGAAGATCAACAAAAAAATGTCACAAGGGTTGTGTTTTAAAATGTAAAATAGAGTGGAAATAAGTGAAATTGGGAAGGAATAAAGTAATCAGGCATGTAGTTAACTGTCCAAATTGTATGAAAATGCAAGAAAATCAGATACTTTATTCATTTTAGAGAAATAGTGCAAGATATAATGAGAAGGAGCTCCTGCAGTAGATCTCATATTCCATTTTTCAATGGGTTCCATCTTTCACATCCACATTTTTATATTACATACTTTACCAATCATATTCTATATTAACTCATATTCCATTCATTGCCAAACATCTCTTTCTATACTACCTATCCGCCAAACCTGGACAGTTGGGTATGTTGGAGGGTGGGTGCAGAATAGTATAATGCAAGATGGAATATAAGTACATTATCTGACATGTAATCGGGAGGTTGTGGGTTCGATTCCCACCAGGGTGGAGTGTCTTTTTCACATGAGCCCTTAGCAAAGGATTTGATCCTGTTTTCAGATTAAGTACATTACCTGTCACTTTTGTCAATCTGGTCGCCAAAGCCAACAGAGTCTACAACAGTCAACTTCAGTCTAACATTGCTCTCCTGCAGTTCTGAAAGCAAGATGTTGATAAAAATGAGTTTTTACCCTATGCCCAATTACCCATACATTATTTTTTATTTTATTTTTTATCCATTTAAAAATTACTTAGAATATAAAAATAAAATTGATAGAAAAATCTATGTTGTAACGCCAACTATATTTGTATCATATAATGGGGTGAATATTATTGCTCATAACAAAGCTGTGTATCATGAGATTCCTAATATTTACCATAGCTATGTCCCTTCAGTTTCACACCAGGGAGGTCATGTGTACTAGGTGATGAGTTGAAATGTGTATTAAACAGGGTGTCCATCAAGGTAGACTTTCCAATACCAGTTTCACCTGTAATACAAACACAGTCATGTTACATGGTTTAAAGTGGCTGTAACTATTTTAAGCAGAATTTACTCACATAAAGGTACTTATCTGAGGGTCATTAATAGAAAATTCATCAAGTTAAGAATTCCTTTAATCTATAATGACATAATATTCAAAGAACAATCGACTTAAGAATTCCTCACATTACAAAATGTCTGGTAATGGGCCCAGACCTCATAACCAGTGAGTTTGCACATTTCTGAAAACATTACATAAAATGATGCCTTATGGCATTCTTGCCCATGGAAAAACTGCTAGGGTGATCATTTAAAACATTAAAAAAGTAAAGAATAATGAAAAAATAAAGAAATAAATTAACAGGCATAAAATCAAAATTCTAAATTGTATAGCAATATCCAAAAATTTGCAAGTTTATTCAAACTTTTAAGAGAAAATGATAGAATAAGGATGGACAAAAATTTGAAAATGGGAAGCATAATTAGTTTTCTGAAGAAGTAATTAACGAAGCTTTGAGGCATTGTTTAGGACTTAAGGTGTTGGGTTACAATACAAAGTCAAAGTTCAATTAACTACAATTTCCTGTTTCTTTTTTTCAACTTAACAAATTACTTTCTAAAAAAAGATCAATAGTTTTTTCTCCCTTCTTGAAAAATACTACTAAAATAAGTGACACTGGGAGAGTTCTTATTCAAATCATTGCTGAAAGTTCCACCCAGGTTTTTTTAAATCCGTTTTTTTTTTTAAAATTAAGGCTCATTTTCTTACAATAACAATTACTCAAAAATAAGGCCTATTTTGAAAATGAGGTTTAAAAGGCATATTTCAAGGCCTTCAATAAAAATTATAATATTTTAACTATTAAAACAAAATTTTATTAAATATTTATTTTGATAACTTACCGACACATAGTATGTTGAAGCAGAAACCCTGTGCGACTGATTTGTTGACCAGCTGGTCAGGAAGGCTGTCAAACCCGACATGTCCCGCAAGGTTCAGTGTCCTCGTCCCTTTCTCCAATCCAGACAACTTGGGTTGCTTGGAATAGATAGCAAAGAAAGTCATTTTATGAATTTATTTTTCGATTTGGGGTTTAAATCCAGATTGCTTAAACTGTCTGTGTACTTTTCAAAAAGTTTTCAAATTTCTGTTCATATGTGTCATTCAATGTGTCATTCATATGTGTCATTCAATCGACTATGTGCCTGTTCTAACATTTCACTTGTCCGGTTCTTCCAGTTTTTCCCATGTTTTTTCGCACAAACAATTTCTTGCGTAAAACATTCATGATTTATTCAAAACTAAATCATTATCTCTATGATATTTTCTGTAATTCCTTATTACATGTATGTAGATTAAAACTAATTTCCAAGTTGATCTCGAAACTGATGCGTGTTCAATATGCATTCCATTAGAATGTATCATTAAGGCATCATGTCCATTGTTCTACATTCAAACTGACCTATACATGGAATGTAAATCATTGGATACAGCAAGTGAAATTTTCCTGTGGATTAATTTTCCATTGGGTCACACCAATTTGACACATTTTGTCTCATAAACCGTGAGACCTGTCGATTTTTCTTGCATTCCTATACAATTTAGAGTGTAAGCTACATGCCTGTTTACTTCATTCCTTGCTAATTCCGCTCTTTTCCACTCTATTTTGCATTTTAAAACATGACAAACGTGACAATTTTTAAAATTCTCTCAGGGGCAATTTGCATTGTTTTTGCACTAATAAGTAATAGAATACCTTTACTGATACCAGTATATTCTTACCCTGAGTCATATACTATTAGAAATAACTACCCTCTGAATGAAACAAATATTAGATAATCCTTTCGAGCTTGGTTGAGAAAAGGTCAGCGTGGTAGGTTTGAAAAGATTTATTCCCGCTTCTTTCATTTGAGGGAATATAACTTTCGAAGGGAAATAGTAAATTTATTTCTGGACACGTGACTAGGTATTGACCAATCAGGATTAGTGTTACATATTGGGTATATAATAAATTGTAATATAGTCTATATTAGGTAGAGGGCAGTTTATAACAAGACTCTGCATACAGGGTATTGTAAAATATCAAGATCATTTAAGAAGGTCCCATGTTGATGGATGCTCCAGAGCAGTTTAATTTATTGGTAAAGGTTAAAAGTTCTACCAGAAGTAAAAGGTCCTCTGGACATTGAATTAATGATGATATTTTCAAAATAAAGATCATTTCAAGATTGGGAGGGAAAGTTAAATGAAAATTGAATGGGATGAATGGAACTATCAGGGTTACATGTCTGATAGTATCTGGGTTGAGGAGGGGTGCGGGGGGGTATAAAATGAATGGGTGAAGAAAATAACATGATATAACCAAAGGGGAGGATTTACCCTATCAAACCATATTGATACTGAAGTTGAGATGATCATTAAAAACAACAATAAAACATCTGACACCCTTGATATCAACAGACCAGAATTTCCAGAAAGAAAAGCAACTTATCTAGTTTCACTTTCATCCTAAAGATTTTTATCAACTGGTATTTCATAATGGGTTGCAGCTATTCTAAACCAATAATGTTAGGAAACATGTTTTTATGTTTGGTGAAAGAAATGAGACAAAAATCAATGGAGGTACGTTCTTTTGGATAGAACGGAACTGAACCTAAATTGAACCTCTAGTTTATAACAGGAATATACCACTTATAATAATAAAGAATAATCTGAAAACATGTATGTAATCATGAAACATTACAGGTTACTAGGGGTCACTATGGTATCTGGTTAAAACATTTCAGGTTACTAGGGGTAACTATGGTATCAGGAGGGAGAAAGTAAATATTTATTTATAGGGTTCTTTAATGGATTGAAAGAATTTGAAATGAGGAGACATTGATTCAAGTTATCTCGCTAAAAGTACTCAGTAAAGCCTTTTTGTCCCCGCTTCCTACTGCATACTTCCCTACAAATCGTTCATATATTTGTAGTCAAGTAGTAAGGAGGGGGGTCATAGGGGCTTGTAGCTAAGACTAGCTTCAAGTTTCCATAATCAAAATTTAAAGAGACTCACAGGGCTCTCACCAGGAAATATTTAGGGTGTGGTGCTAACATCTTCAGAATAACCGTTCAATTGTGATAAATCATATTTATGTTTTATCCTTTTAACATGCTATTATTATATATTCAGTCAAGTTTAGACTGTGGAAACAGTCATGATTTGCCAATAGGGTGTGGAGGGAGCTAAATAGAGTGTGGTGCTGCGCCACAGTCTAAAAGCATGGCGAGAGCCCTGGACTCAGGATTTTTAATTTTGGGTTTTTGTGTCTAAGGTTTAATTTTTGAATATTGAAGAAAGGCAAAAGAGGCAGCATATACGGCCTATGGCTGATGCCAAAACTCTAGGGATCAGTTTGAAGCTTTCCTTTCTAATCTAAATTGATTTTTCAATCAATCCTTGTTGAGAATACATTTCTGTTAGCATATGGATTCTGTTAGCTACTTAAAATTGGGAACCTAACAAAATAACCCTTACTCTAATGTTAAAATCATGTATGTACAGTAGGACCTCTCAAGTGGAACACTTAATTTGATTTGAAAACTATATTTATTCTGGGAAGCTTTATCAGTATAAAAAATGTCTATTTATGAGTAGAACAGCTGAAAGTAGAACATTTTTCAAGGTCATTGTGACCCATAATTATGTTAATCATTTTCAAGGTCATTGTGACCTATTATAATAATTATGTTAATCATATATGTTTGCATGTGACCACCCGTAAATAAGTTTTTTCACGCTACCTACAGAGATGTAGATGGTCTAAAGCGGACACTGGTAAAACCAGCTAAAAGTTTTCACATTCAGGATCAGAAGTCTTCAAATAAGAATGCTTTTATGAAATGGAAGTCATTTCAAGAGAGTTTCAAAAATGGAATTGAAATATTTGTTAATATTTCCAGGGCTTTTCAATACTCAAATTACATTTTCCAATCATTTGCTGTTTTCAACTGTGTTGCTTTCTTGCAATTCCAAAAAATGTAGCTCTGCATTTTCTTTAGAAAGATATTAACACAAATGGGTCTTACTGTACATAGTTTTGTTCATTATTTACACAAATGGGTCTTACTGTACATGTACATAGTTTTGTTCATTACTCAGTATTTCCTGTCATTCTGTATCTTTTATACAAACAATTTACACACTGGATCAGTCATTCAAAGTCAACATGAAATAAAATTCTCTCACATATGTTGATTTATTTGACTGTTGTCTTATCTTCTTAAACAGCAATGAATTTATATGTGGCTGTATACCATTTATTTTCCGGAGACTATAACAAAATGTTACCACTTGTGGTGGTGACATTTAAACAATAAATATATAAATATATTTATAACTATAAAAACACTACAGTAAAGGTATTTGGTTTGCAACATTCATTAATTAAAAAATGCCAATGGTATACCGTCTCTTAACCTTTAGCAGACCACCGGCAGCCGCGTCCGCCCATTCAAAATTACCGCCAGAATCCACCGGCGGATCCGGACGACACAAATCTAACTTTTGAAAACTTTACTTTTTCCCGCCGTTCTTATGATCCAATTAGATTGCCCGATTTATTCAGTCCTTAGTAGGTGACTTCCTGTTGACCTAGAAATGTCGATGTTTCGAAAAATATTTCTCAATTCAACATTTTGAACAGTTTTTAAGTTGTTTTTAGTGAACAAATCGTACAAAATGACGGCCAAATACGATAACAACGAAAATGTTGAGGAAATGGATTGCGATTTCGAGCTCTTTAGGCTCTTGGAAGCCGATAATGGTCATCGAAAATAGAAACTAGAATATTTTCTGAACTGAAAAGAAGAACATTCGATCGCTGCAAATTCAGTTTTGGATTCTGACCAGACGTTGAATCTCCCGAGGGGCGAAACGGCGGATTCCGGAGGAGTATTCATGGTATATTTATGCCCAGTCGTGTTTATGTACGAAAAAATTCATGAGAACATTTTTCTCATGAGCCACGCTAGTGTATCTTCCCTTTGTGAAAAATTTATCCAGATTCATTCAGTAGTTATTGAGATATTAATTATTTAGTCCAGGCATATCATTTTTGAAAAATAAGTCAGATGCGTGGGATATATTTGCTGAAATAAGTCAGAGTGCAGAAGGTTAAGACGAAATATTTAACCACTGTACTGTATTGTAAAATTGTTAAATGTAGGTTTACCATGTAACTGTACTGTAATTGTTTTTTGCAATTGCTTTAACATGCTTTTTCTTTGAAATAAAAAAATTATAAAAAAAAAAAAAAAAAAAATAAGGCCTATAACAAGAAATTACATTTGTTCCTTAATATTACTTTAACATCTCAAAATCTATAAAAGGTTACTTTACTTCATAATATTGGACTCCTAAAAATCAATTAATCTTGCAAAACACTTCTCAACTAATCCAAATATTTCAGACCACTCATACAGTGAATCATGATAGCACAAATTAAACAAATTGATCAATATACTAGTACTGTATATTATTGAGAAAAATATCATTCTGATACTCATCGTATGTATCGCCTTTCTGACAGAAGACCTATCTACTGTAAGATGTGCTGAGATGTCACAGAAAACATATGAATCAGTGATCTCCACAGGATTTGGGTGCAAAATTCTCTTTTTCACAGTTCAGACCAAAATTGTTCAAAATATGCCAATTTTTCATGATTTTTCTCATTTTCAAGTGGGTGCAAATGGATTTTCAGGTGGCTGCAAGTCTATTTTAAAAAGCTCAGGTGTGTGCTGCACCCACTTAATGCTGGGGAGGTCACTGTGAATATCAAACAAGAACAATTGTTTCAGAACACATGGTACTTAGATTGTACTGAAATGGGAAAAATACTAGAATAGTAGTCTATATTAAAGGAAAATCTGGAAACAGTATGCCATATGTATATTTCTAACATATACAGAACTGTAGATCTTTTTCCAAATCCCAAAAGATAAGTTGAGGGGTGGACCATCAAATCTTGAAGCCTCGATTTTTCTGAATAAATCATTTCAAAATTATTTTTTCATCAAAGCCATTTTTATAAACAAGAATGTTTTGATGTCAGGAAAACATTAAAATTCAAAAAACCTTCAAGACATTATTAGCCCCATCATTTTTCTGAAGAGCAAAATGACTGCCATGTAATTAACTCAGCATGCGCAAAACTTAATCAAATCTTGTATCTGTCAAAATGTCAACTTGAACGGATAAGTGGTTTTCCTGGAATCTTGATACAAGATTTAATGTTATACTGCCCATCCACCCATCCACCCACCTATTAAGCAGCACAATATGATGAAAATAATTCAATAAAAACAACCATCATTGACCCAATGGTACATCCCTAAGGAGCTTGTGTTTTATGCTTTATTAACAGTTCCATACTGATATAAACTCACACAATTTGTTAACATTCCTCTGATAAGTAGCAAATGAATGTAAACTGTGGTTTTAATTACTAATGTTCTCCTTAAGATTCATTCTCAAATTATTAAGGGACCTGTTTTACAGTTCTGACCTAACTGAGTCAAAACATTTTCATTGATTTTTCAAATTTTCTTTGAGGAGAGAGTTAAAGATTTCTTCTCTGATTTCTTCACCATTCTGAACAAAAGGAGTGATGCATTTCCGTCAGAGTCTCTGAATATACTATAAAGAAGTACACTTTACATTCATTCGAGCTTCATCTTCATTCTTTCAGTTTACAATAAACCTCTGAACTCACTAAGCCATTCAGAATTTGTCGTCGAAATATGGACGACTCATTCTATAATATGGTCATTTCCTCTGATGTCATCGCATAATGAGCATGCATTTAGCGTGCGTTCCTTCCAGCACACTGTTTGGTTGAGAAAAGATCAGCATGGTAGGTTTTAAATGATAAATGACCCGAACTGTCATGGGCGTAGATCGGGGGGTAGGGCTACTAATCTGTAACATAGTCTATACTTAGTGTAGGCAGAAGGTATTTTAAACTAAACTCTGCACGCAGAGTAATAAAGAAAAACATTTTGGTATACAAGTATACTAGGGCAGTAGGGTGGATCATTTTTTCAACTTTTTCTCAGATCTTAGTGCTAATTAAAAGAAACAAACACTTACATGCCCTTAACTTATATAAAAAAAAAACAGCTCAATCCGTCAACGTTTAGGCCCCTCCCCTACCGCATTTTCTGACGCCTATTCGCTTTGTGTTATTAGCTTCGTGTTTAAATAGCACTAAGATCTGAGAAAAAGTTGAAAAAATGATCCACCTTAAAGTATAGCCATAGGGTTTCCAGAAACTCTGTATTGCCCTATATAGAGATGACACCTGAGTTGATCATTGGAATATCATCAACTGAATACGTGGCTTATATATTCTAGCTTTAACTATAAGTCATTATTCTTTAAACCACATTAGATAAGGTATCAACCCCAAATGACTTCCTTTATAAACCAAAGCTTATTCTCTTATAAATATGTAGTAAATAGTTTCTCTCAAAAATTAACGAGACATTTTTTTATTAACTGATAAAATACTTTCTTTAAGAAATATAGACCAAAGAGCAGAGGTAATATTGTCGAATACACCCCGCAGGGCTAGGCACAAACTTTTTCTGTACCCTGAACGACCGAAGGGAGTGAGGGGTTCGAAAGCATTTGTGCCTAGCCCTAAGGGGTGTATTCGACGATATTACACCTGCTTTGAGGTCTATATTACGATTTGAACATGAACAATCACCAAAATGTTTTGAATATTCATTATGGTCCACCATTACTACGATCCGCAGTTATGACGTCACACATTACACGTATTACCAGGGGCAATGTTCGCGAATATACCCCGGGTGAAATGTTGACTTTGTTTACAGTTTATAGAAGGCGTGAATACAGTCATGTTCGAATATTCTTTAAACCACATAGATAAGAATAAACCTCAGATGACTTCCTTTACAAACCAAATATTTTTCTCTTATAGTAAATAATGCCTACAACTCAAAATGTATCGAAACTTTTTTTATCGGCCAATGAAATAAATGATTCCCTTATTGACATTGACAATTCCTTTAAGAGAAACATTATTTTTAACATACGTTATAATTAGGGATGGGACGGTTCGTTTCGGTTCGGTTCGGTTCGGTTTTTCGGATCATCAGCCGTCGGTTCGGTTCATTCATTTTAAGGATTTGTAGTGATTGACATGATTAGCTGCTTTGTCTCTGACTTCACTGCAATAATCTTCATTTCTTTTTGGAAAACGGGAATTTGAGATCCAGACGCCATATTTGAATGTATTGTGGTTGCGCACAAAATAATACCCTATATCGAACCTGCGCAAATATAAATTTGCGCGAACCTTTGTATCAATTATGCCACGTTATAAGTTACAATATTTTATAGATGGAATTTTATGTTATAGTATTTCATGAACAATACATATTATTTAGAATACACGACTAAAGAATATAGTACCAGGGACCACATGATTGATTACCGAGGGATACGAATACGCGGATACGAAACGAATCTAGTAAACGAGTGAGCTAGCAACAGACAAGACAGACAAGGTAGGGACTAGGAATATCAAAAATGTTGCTGTAAAACAGTGTTTTTAACTGTTTTATTGATACTTGACCAATGAAATATTAATCCGAAAACGATCCGAAAAGCTGATCCGAAAGTAGGGCCGTGATCCGAAAACCGATCCGAAGGCTATGAACCGCGGTTTTTCGGTATTTCGGTTATCCGTCCCACCCCTAGTTATAATGACGTGTCACCCAACCATGTCTTCAAGGAAAACGGTAGTAAATATTTTTGAAAATGTTTTGCGAGCATTTGCTACTGATTATAGAAGGCCCAATTACGCAATGAACGAAACTGCTAAATTGTTTTTCGTGCCTAACAGGCCCAGTACGACACGAACGAAACTGCTAAATTTGAATTTTTAATCTGCTTATTGATCTATTGATTCATAAAGACCTGAAATGATGCATTCAAATAAGACCGCCTCCTAAATGAAAACACTACACATAAAGTGGTGAAAAACAACAAACTAAAGTTGAAAGAACGTTCGCTGCTTTGTTCAATTCCGGAAATCTCTAAGGGGCTGCAAATCTGAAATTTTTTAGATTTAGATTTTATAACCTCAGAATACTGCCTTCCGTGTCGTGTTTGGCTGAGTTCCACAATGTAATCTAGCAGGATGGGTGACATAGAACAAACTGATAAGTAGACACATGGCTACATTTCATTATTTCGTTATTTTTATCATATGAACTGGTCACCAGAATTTCTGTTTTATCTTTAGGCCAATGGCAACTTCAGAGGAAATGGAACAGAGAGAAAAAAACGTCCTTCTTAAGACATAATGTCTGATTGGCTCGATTTAGAGTATTCTTCTAAACTTAAAAGAGTGTTAGGGCGAAGAGGTGTAACGTCGACACCATTTTGGGGTAACTTCAACATGTGGGGTAACTTCGACACCTTGTTGTATATTTGCTCTAATATCCAATCTAGGGGGAAGCCATTTTTTCTTGCATGGTTCGAGATCTCGCGAGATTTTAATTTTTCCAGAAATCAAACATGGCGGAAAACGGAAATTCTACTTCTAATAAGTAAGTGTCAACGTTACCCTGTCTCTTATGTCGACATTACCCCACAGGTCGACTTTACACCCATTTGCCCTTGGTTCATTGGGTCATGTCAGAGATGGACACAAATTCAGTGCAATATCATATTGAATTCCCGAGACCTGAACATATGCTACAAACAATTCCCATTCAGATGAGAAAACAATTTGCAGTATAAAACAAGATAATCTGGATAAATCAGGAAACAACCGACAGAGCTCTGACAGATGCTGGGTGTGACTCATTTTGCTTTGTTGAAAAAAATTGATAATTTTTTGTCAGTTTTTGAAGTCACTTTTCTAGTAGAAATAATAAAGCTAATTATGTAAACTTTTCAAAGTTACTAGATCGTATATTCAAGAATATGATAAGCATGATTAAATACACATCAAATGATAACTTACCACGTTTTTCATCACATCTGGTGCGGCCATCATGAAATTTTGTAAAAATACCAATAGCGGAAGTCGTTAGTCAGTCCGTATAATAAACATGTACAATATTTAAAATATGGCATGGTTGAGCTAAATGTCATTTGTTTTAATATAAATTACTATTTTTCTAGAGCTTTTTGGATTTTATACATGAGTTTGAGATAAATCGTCCAAAATTAAAAATTTCATTTTGACCAATCAAAATTGAGCTTGATCTTCACTTCACTGATGAGGAAAAAATCATGAAAATAAAATTGGAATGATTTTGCCACATCTTCGGTCAAATTTGGAGTATTTACAGAAGATATAATCATACAATATTGCGCAGAGAGATACATTGGATATTATAGTTTTGTGCTGTTGGCCTCAAAATGGCAGAGGCCGTCGTTGAAGAAACTAAAGACCCTAAAAGTGGAGCCGATATTTTAAAGATGCCGGGTCAAGATCATGTAAAATTTGGAGTACTGATAGGTCTAGTCAAAGTTGGTGAAATCTCCAATAAAGAAGTGGTCGACACTGTTTTGCATTTGGTAAGTTGATAAAGCATCATCAATTTCCAAGTTAAGCCTATTAAATGACCCCCTTTTCTTGTAGTAATCAATCATGGACTCCATTTCCCACGCCTCTCATTTCACCTGCCAATCATATTGACCTAATTATTTACAGGTGTGCCATCATCGATATATTCATTATTATATTAATATTATATATATTATTTATTTATCCCTCATGCTTATTGTATCAAGTATATAACCCGCTGCGTTGTGAAACAATATTGCTGATGATAGATACATATTAGCATGAGAGCACTTATATTAGCATTAGAGCACTTATTTCAAGTCGTTTGGCATGATGCTGATCGTAGACATCACCAACATTTGTGCAGATGATGTTCAAATTTCATATGTTGAAATGTTTAATAGGTGACAAAATAACAAATGAGATACTTGAAACCACTGCGAGTATCATAAAACAATACACTGATCGAGTTACGCTGGTTTCAATAAAAATCAATATCTCTATAAAACAGTTTGCATGTTCGTAGAATTGTCTGTATATCACAATACATAGGTTAATTTGCCTTTATAGATTCCAGCATTATATTCAGGAAAAGATTATAATGAGTCATTCTACAGTTAATATCTTGGAAAATATACCTGTGAATGATATCAGATATGACCTTTTTGGATGCATTTTAGTTTTTTGATCTGAGTATGATATTTAGATCCAAAGCTTAATTATCATTACAGTGATCTCCCAAGAGTTAAAGCAAGTGGGTGCAGTACACACCTGAGATTTTGAAAATAGGCTTGCACCCACTTGAATATCTATTTGCATCATGAAAAATTGGCATATTTTGACCAATTTTGCACCCACCTGAGAAAAATCCTGGGGAGATCACTGCATTATGTATCACTGCATTGCATTATGTTGTTTTTAAGCATGGGGTTACTGTATGAGACTCCGGTTATGAGACTTTTAATATTATAGGATAGCAGTTGAAGTTTAAAGCCTAGCAGAAGAAAAATGATGCAATATATATATCGGCCACGGTTAATTGAATCCTTAATTTCCAAGAACAAATAAAAAGAATTGAAAATTGTTTTTGCAAGTGTTATCCAGGGCTCAGAATCTAACACTTCAACATTCACAAGCACCCTGACCAATCATTAAAGATTCTACAAATGGTTTTTCACAAAGGTCATATTTGAAAAAACAGTTTTCTCTCGTTGACCATCTGATAAATCATGTCGCAGAAACTGTGTTCCGATTGGTCAGAGAGATATACAAGTGGTTTTCCTGGAATCTTGATTACAAGATTTATCCAAAAACTTCCAAGATGGCTACCAGAATGCAATATGGCCCGGAAACGTTTTTTTTGAATTACTTTCAACCCGTCTCCATCTATATACTTCCATTAATGAAAGAATGCTTACTAATAACTGAAGTGCCATAATTATTGACATCTAATATCACACACTGATGAACATTTAGTCCTTTCGGGCATAGAACATAATCAGAAATAGTATTTTATAATGGAAAATACTTATAAAAAAAACAAAGAAATCTATGAGGTAAACATACGGTTTATGCTCCTCCAATAATTCGGTAGCTTCCTTCTTGAATGTTGCACTAAAAATTCAATTTTTTCAAAATGTTGGACTTCAAAATCTACAAAAAATCCCTCACCAAAAATCCTTGAAGAACACTGAATTTATATATGTCATATTGAGAGTTGAAAAGGATTTTCAATTTTTCATACATGTATATATTTTTACATCTTATAAAGTGCAGATTTGAAAACAGTACTTGGATAATGACTAAAATGTCAAGTTATAATTTGACATCTTAGAATCAATAAGACTCAACTTTTTTAATGATAAAGTGATTCTAAATAAAACTAGAGAATTAATAATAAAATAAATACATATATAGAGATTAAGTTTAGTACATATGTTTGCTTATTTGATGACCCAGTTATCAGGATATATGTATTAAATTGTATCTTATCTCTCATGATATATGTTAAGTATACATAAGTTTCAAGTATGCGCCTGATAAAATATTCAGTATGTTATCTTGTTGTGTATGTTCATACTTACATAACAGCTCAGGCCCTGGCCAAAACTTCTTTCAAAATCATGCAATTTTTCACTATTTTGAGGACTTCTCAAGTGATTTTAGCCATATTTGGGCCAAAATTGTTAAATGTGAACCCCCCTTCCCTTGGAAATTTTTGAAAACTGAACCCCCCCTTGGCAAATCCTGGCTACGGGCCTGCAGTTTTACCAGAACTCTCATCAGTGTTTAGAACTTAAGGTTGCCTTATTACCAGTAAATGATATTTTTGCTTTTGACATTGGCAATCTTTTACATTAACTCATTGCTGGCCAAAGCTATTTTGTTTTTTTCTGCTGGTGACCCATGCCATGGGAAATTAAGCAAAATGGCATGTTTTCTATTCACATAAAATAGACTGTATTAAGACCCTCTTTGATATGTTTTATGTGATTGTGATTTACCAAGGAAAATATATTTCAATTGTACTCAATCATGTCCCCCTCGCGACCTCTACAATATTTGGTAAGATTACTTGTACACATTGTGTGACAATTATTGGACCGCATAACTAGGGGTTGGTCTGATACGATCATGATGTCATAGACGAGATATCTCAAGGTTGTCAGTAATGAGTTAATTCAATGAGAAATATCTGAGAAATCAAGAAATCATATGAATTTTGTGAGTTGTCATAACATTATGAATTATATTCTTGCCCAACTAGAATCACTACTGCCATCTATCTATCTACGTCTACTATTAGACAAAATACACATACGTGATATGTTTTCTCATGCAGATAGGTTTCTATGACATAACATAATGTTTCTATGACATGACACAAGGTTTCTGTGACATGACATAATAATTCATGGTTCACAGCTTTATAGGGAAATATGATGTCAGCTTATTTAGAAATTATCCAGACCTTTGATGATATGTTTAAGTGTGTGCTATAATTTACGTATTATCAATCAGGCTTTATTAACAATAAAAGAATTTGAAAATTAAATCCACCTGAGAATTTATTCCCTTCAGCCAAGGTTGGAAATCTACAAATACGCATACATCATATACAGACACTATAATATATTGTTTTGGAATAACTGTAACCTTTGCATCAAAGATGTAAGATGTTAATTTTAGTTTTCATCGTATTAAACTACTTTTTCATAGTTGACGACTTGCTTTTATATTTGAACTAAACCAGGCTTATATGACATGGGAACTCCGGAATAATTTGTTCATAAATCGTGCCTGAGCGCCACAGTTCAACGATATCTACAGGGAAGGTTACTGGAAATGTATGATACGGTAATGATCATGTTATGTCAATATGGTGCAGTTACTGGAGAGCTTAGCTCCCATCATAAGCTCTATAACATTACCGCATCACCGCATATCAGTTATCTTATCATCTGTAAAACCCTTATAAGCGTTGGAAGATATAGTTTTTCTGTGGTGCCAACGCATTGTAAATGAACAAATGATCATACTCCAGTGTTTCAATGTCATATAGCCTGATTCGGTTCAAGTATAAAAGTATTACGTCACCAATGAAGTATTTTAATTCAATGAAAATTAAAAATATCAAAATTGTCAATTACCATCCGCCATCTTTGATGCGAAGGTTACGGCCAGTGATACATAGGAACAATGTTTTTGAATTTTAGGTAGCATATTTTTCACCTTGTCTTATTTTTGAATAAAGTCATTTGCTTAAATGTAAAATCTTTGCTTTAGGTTCCCTTTTAAATTGGCTGCTCAACTAACCCCTTAGGGGTCATATCCAAAATTTTGTTCTGGAAAGAAAAATTTATTTCATTTTAGGAGAAGATAAATGGCAATTTCACCTGTGAAGGAGACTTGTTTTGTTAAAAGTTCAGGTAGTAGGCAAATCAACATTTCCAAATGTTTTTGCTTCACCAAGTTAACTTTATTTTCCACAACTGTCAATGTTTGGACGCTACCCCTTATGTCACATTGATCCTACATTTGATGTCTTCTTACCATATAACACTCCCCTTTGACATTGACATATTAAATATTCATAGAAATCTCAATATTTTGGCATCTACCAGAAAATTACTATTACAAGGTTAAGAATGAGCCTAAAACTAAATCAATCTTTATGATTTTGTTCTACAATTTCTACTTGACATGGTATTAATGTTTAAATCTGGTTATGATATCTGAATTTGTTTTCACATTTGGGTGAATAGATGTTCAAATGGGTGCAAGGTTATGTCAGGAATCTCAAGAGGATGCTGCACCAATTTTGACCCATCACATTATTTCAAATGACTGAAGTGATAGGCTGGTTTGACATACATATTTACTATACAGCACCCAGTTGTCCTAATAGAGATAGATGATGCACTAAGGGTACTGATCACTGAAAGAATATGCTGGTTTAACTATGTATCCCTATTGTCCCATTGGAGATTATTGGATAAATAAGGGTTATATACTGGGAGATTTTGGATATGGGACTTACCCAGAGGGGGATATGCAGCAGTTTTCTAAAAAAAAAATTCAAAAATTCAAAAAAAATTCAAATAGTGGGAGATATGGAGGGACTGAATATGGAAACAAAAAAAACAACAAAAAGGTCTTTCTATCTATTTTAACAACAGGGTTGGTGAGAAGATCCAAAGTCTTGTTGAACTAAGACTTTTTATCTTTGGCAGATTGTAAACAGATGTTAAAAAGAGGTTTGTTTTAGAACCGTCATAACTTACAATTTGCTCGCAAAGTCATTGTTCGTTAAAAAGTAGACAATGGTTTTCTTTGAATCATAAGTTAAGATTACAACAAAAACAATCCTTAGTAGCATGTTTGTTTTTTTTTGATTTTTAATGGGGTGCACCTGCACCACCCGTTTGAACCACCCGGTTGAACCATCCAGTTGCACTATTCTATAAGAGATCACTGAAACACTTGCATCTAATCTGTCATTTGGCTCGTA